AGTTGAGCCACACATTAAGGTTCAGGAGCACTTTCGCCTGCAGAAACCGGACTCCTCGCATGTGGTGGCACAGTGCTTTCATCCAAGTCTTGGCCCAATCTCCCCAGGCACACAATCACACACTTCATTACGCCCGATTATGCACAGCTTTCTGACGTGTCTACCACACGCGACAGCCATGCGAGAATAGGCAATAGTGTGCGACAGCCCGCGCCGAGATAAAGTTTATCCCCAACAACTGCACCGTGCCGATTCGGCAAAAATGAAAACTAAAAAATTGGTTTGCATTTGTACGATTTTTTTTTTTATATACAGAATGTAATATACAAATGTATCTTACTGTGGGCCTAGCATTGTGTTTCAAAATTTGCTCACGGTAATCTGAAAAAAACTGACTATCTGTAAACCGCAGAGGTTTCCACTAATTAAAACTTGCAAGAGGCGTAGAAATATTAAATACTTCCTTTGGCAGGGGAAAAATATTATATACGAAGCCTTGCCGCATTTAGCAGCCGTGTAATCCAATAGATAAATATTGCAGTCGATATTTTTAGTTGCGGATGTGTACACAATTCCCTGTTTGTTTGCAAAAGTGATTGGGCATTGCTACCCGGTTTGCACAGTTTTGTTGCAGCAGGAATAAAGGTATTGAGTGGAGCAGCAAAATCCACAGTTGTTGAGCACTTTCCTGCCTTCAACAACCCAGACTGAACAGCGTGGTGGAACACGGTCAAGTATCTGCCATGGCGCGCAAGGCTTGGAGTTGCCAAATCAACGGTAATCAATTATGTTCATTAAAATTTTAATCTAATTCAATTGAAAAGATAAGTCAATAACTAATCTGAAGATTTTTTTTCATTTTTATAGTTTTTTTTTGCAAAGAAAATTATTGATTGAACTGCTTTGCATCATATTTACACGAACACAAATGCATCTGTAGAACCTCCATAGGCTGTTGGGGCAAGTGCTGTTAGCGAGCACCTATGAAGACCGCCACTGCGCACAAAAGAGTGGTGTGGTTCGCCTTCGTCTCTCCAGTGCTGATCTTTACATACTGCGCCAGGTACTCATTGAAGGCTGAGCCAACCTAGGGGAGCGCCGTTGTTGGCCGTGAGTGGGAATTGAACACATGTGCGCCTGGTTCGTAGCACAGCGCTAACCACTGCTCTACGCCTCCCGACATTTACAGACACGCACGCAGAGCCGCTGCCTTGTTTAAAATTCACTTTGCGGATTAAGAATCGTTTAAAAAGGGCTGCAACGCATAATGGCCATAATGAGTGGAGTAGCAGAGACCCGGCATATGCTGCTCTCTGTGCAGTTTCGAGGTCGGCACGCATCCTCGAGCAGATGCCCAACGGCGCTGATCTGCTGCACCCACTCCCAGGTGAGGCTGTGTTTGACTACAGAACCGGTGGAAATAACCACCGGCTCATGTGGACGGCACACTTCTCACCAGTGTCAACAAGAAAGAAATAGGGGCAAATCATTCTCATTGTAACAGCATCCCATGAATGAGCGTAGAAGTGGTGCTCATGTAGATCCTGCGTGCGGAATCGTGAGACAAATACACATCGCATGAGCCACGCCAACAATATCACGAACCGAAATTACAATCAATTTGTATTACGTAATACAGTATTGTGTATTGCATGAGAATATTGGTTTACCTGAGGCAATAGGTGTGGCACGTGGGAAACATTGAAAACAGTGTTTCCCTGCTAGTAAATATGATAATAACCCCACTGAGTACCGTGTAATCCAAACAGGGCTTTCAAGTTTGTCAACAAAAAGCATTGCCAATCCGGTAAATGTGAACTCATTGTTAACGGTACACTCTTCTTCCCCGCACATGGCATTGGAAGTGGCTCTGCTTGTTGGTAAAGTCCATGGAAAGCTCATTTGCAATGCTATTTCTAGAATTGCTTAATTTGTGCTGACAAATAATTCACACGAGTGCCATCAATAAAACATAAGATGTGACAAAATCTTATTAAAACTCCAAGCTACCATTTAGCAGGTGACATGTTTAATTTTGTGTCAAATTTATGCCATATTGCAAGTGGCAATATAACATTCCTTTACAAGCTAACGTTGAAATCAGATTTATAGTTTATTTTCGAGGCTAGTTTCCTCGTTAAAATATTCACAGGTACAAGATAACTGATTAATGGGAAAAAATTTTTTTTAATGAACAAAGTACCGATGTCGTCAGAGATAATACTGCAGGGGCGAATTGCTGTGCTCAAAGTGGGTAGTGAACAATGATGTTATATTTTTCCGATCTGTTTCCCATACTTATCTTTTGCACACTATATAATCCATTGATATATATTTTTAGGACATAACAAGAAAAACGTATAAAAGCCAAGGAAAAAGTGCAGCCCTGCAGTTAGTTGTTTATAACACTGCTGGCAGAAGAGCCTCAATGAGGGAGAGCTCTGGAGAGAATGTTTGAACCGACTCTTTCACACGGGCCAGACCGATTAGATATAGTGTAATTGCCCAAACTTTGCTCCTCCACACGCAACCGGCCCTTATACAAACTGCGGTGAACCCGTTTATACTGATAAAAAAACTTGCACCATTGTTTTTACTGCCCTGCTGGGATATCAAAGCAGTGATCTCTGGATTGCAATTCCTGTGTGCTAACCATTACACTACAGCACCCCCTCCCCCCAAGGATGATATAACATAAAAAACTACAGCTATAAGTTATGACAATCTAATATTCACATGTGATACGTGTTAAATATGGGACAAGGAGAACCTGATGTTTAAATTAAAAAAATTTGGGCTGGCACATAAAGTTGGTCTGGTGTTTAACGTTATGTTTACTACTATGCAGAAACATGTACTAATTTCCTGCCAAAAGCTGGAATAAAAGTATGGCCCACGAGCATTATATGGTGGCTAAATGAACCACAAAATTCCGCTGGCCTAGCGTTAACTTTAATTTCTCCTTTATTAAGCAATAAACTATTGAAATATAAAAGGCCCATGGGTCACTTTAAGATCAGCTATTACATGTTAATATGCATTTGTGTATCGCCTTAAAGTATGAAAATTGCAAACATGGCACTCGAAACAACTAATGGAAACGACCATCAAAGAATATTTAACCAGCTGCTATAATGCGTATTTTGTCCAATTTAAGTTCACCAGGCAGGTAATTATTTACTGCTTGCGGACTCAGGAAATTACAACTGAAATGAAACCTTTCCACAAAATAACACGCCGTGTACGTGCACATTCGTTAGGGCACTGGTTCAACCATTGCATCCCATACGGTGCGTTTCCATGGGTCATACATGTTCTGAATGAGATGGTGTGTCTTCTTCTTGGTTCTTTCGGTAAAGTCACTTCCCTTCTACGTGACTTTACGTGACTTTACCGAAAAAACCAAGAAGATGAATCCCTGCAGTCACGAAAGCTTTAAATCGAGATGGTGTGTATTAATGAACAAATTCACAAAGCTAACATTCCTTATGCATCCATAAATAAAATATAATAAACATCACTGTCTGGCGAGTGTGCGCGACCTTGACAAAACGCTCTGTTTCACAACGGCCATTGCCTCCGGGACTTGTGCATATTAAGGTTACCTATCTGGTCGTCTTGTTTCATCGACCACGTGTGTGTGTGTGGGGGGGGGGGCTCTACAAACGAACCTCGAAACCACACGTGTCATTCGGTATGTGGGTCTCATTTGGCAGGAAAGGTAAACAGGGAAATGCACGTGCCCCGTTTAGACCCTTCTTCTTCTGAAGTCAGTCCTTTCCCACAGAGTGAGCTCCCCCCCTTACATTTTTTGACTCAAACCCCAAAAGCTTTTGAAATTCTGGTGACAAACCAAACATGAACAGGATTTCTTTTTGAATTTCACCAGGGGGTAAAGAAAAGGGATTCCATATTTAGAGCATTAGAGAAGAAAGAAAAAGGCAGAGAAAGTGTTTTTTCTTCCAAATATGACACCTAATTAAATGATAAAACTATACTTTTTTTCACCAGGTAAGGCCCACTGAACTATGGGACCTCACCACAACATTTTATAGCAGTGAAATACTCTAAACACATGTTTCTAAATGTGGAAGGAACAACTGGGGTAGCTAGAGCAAAATCCAGGCGGCCACGGGAAGAACATGCAAACTCCAAATATACAGGCGTCAGGGTTGGGATCGAACCAATGACCTCCTGTATACCCGGTGAGGGAGTTAACATCTCGCCGCTGTCGTGTCTTAGGACAGTGTACAATCACATCTGGACATGTACCGCCCATGATCCTCTTTAAGGAGGATGCAAGTCCTCTGTTTTTTTAAACATTCTATTCCAAATATGTATATGGATAATTTTAGAGAGAAAAAATATATTTCCGTTTATTTTTGCAGTCTATATTTGTTAAAATAATCATGTTCCCACATGAGGTTTTAGACAATGTTGAAAAACTATTGAATATGTAATACATGCGAACACGATGCAAACGAAAATACATTTACTGTAGTTTGCATAAGAACATAATTGTGGTATATTAGAAAAAGTAACATGAACCAAGTACTAAATATATTACTATTCCACATCTCGATGTAAGCAACCATGATCACAAAAATATTTGTCTAAGAAAATGCTGTACCAACTGAGAAATTAATCAATGTCAATGTTTGTGTTCGAATATTGTGCCAACACATTTAAACCACCTCGCTTCACAGCCGTCTTCATATGCACTGCATACCACACAATTTATTCTACTCGATTTGTTTACCGATATTTTTGGCATGCACATTTCACGGACGATAACACATTTCAGCTCAACAGCGATTCTGCAAATAGGGAGAGTGCGGATTCCCATAGTAGCCAGCCTCCACGGCAAGAATGGCCCCGGTTTGTGTGCCCAGGTAACATTCTGGACATCTATGAGAAAGAGCTTCATAGCTCATCGGATTCCTCCAGAATATTAAAAAAAAACCTGATTCTGTACAAACAGTGTTGTGGGCAACACTTACCTGCACCAGCAGCTCCAACATCCGGCCATCCAACAGGTGAACGTGGCACCGCCGGCCCTCGGCCATCTGAAACAGAGAGGCAGGGACCACTATTACATTGACAAGACAGTTCCTGATAATTGTTTTTTTACCCTTTAATCTGGCAACAAAACTGACACCTTTTTTTACGAGGAGTCATGTTTGCATAGCAGTGGCGGCTCCTGCAAAATCTCTCAGGAGGGGCAAATGTCTGGATGATTGATAAGGATAAGGTCCACCCATGCAATGGATAAATTAACAGCTTAAGCATGTAAAGGCAACTTCACTTCTTTAATATTAATGAAAAATAAAGTGACTCTTACAATACATCTTGTTTGTTTCTATACTCACTATTAATACAATCCACTCAAGTTTCTTTTATTAAAGATTCCACTAGGTGGCGACAAATTATATTGTTGGATGAAACGTGTTTACGTATGATGACGTAAGCACGTTAGGGCGAGCCCTCCCGGAAGTCATAGAGAATGCATTGCAGCGCCCCCCGGTCGAAAAAAACATCTTTGAATGTAAGTCTATGGGACCACTCGGGGCGATTCTCAGCCAGAGTGAAATCGCCCAAAAAGAGGCGGTACTCCACAGAACGTGACATGACGCTGATTGGACTATATCCAGAGGCACAGTGACGGCTCGCGTGACTCTGTGGTTCAATGACATTGGTGGTGCATCGCCCATTCGCCCTGATGAAGAAACTGCCCCTGTTGCATAGACCACAATACCTGCAGTCATAATGCAAACAAAAAACATAACTCTGATAATGTTTGCACTGTCCTTGAAGTTGATTGGTCCACACCCGAGACAGCTTTCCTTAGAGCCTAGTCTCACATGGTGTTGGACCAGATGACGCCAAAAGGCGCACAACTCAAAGACAATGCACCATCAGAGTATGAGAGCTCGGGGTAAGCATTGACACCATTGGTACCTCATTTGCCAGTAAAAAAAAATATGATAATTGGTTTTTTACCCTTTAATCTGGCAACAAAACTGACACCTTTTTTACAAGGAGTCATGTTTGCATAAGACCACAATACCTGCAGTCATAATGCAAACAAAAAACATAACTCTGATAATGTATGCACTCTCCTTGAAATTGATTGGTCCACACCCGAGACAAAAAAAGGTGTCAGTTTTGTTGCCAGATTAAAGGGTTAAAAAAACAATTATCATATTTTTTTTTACTGGCAAATGAGGTACCAATGATTCGATTTAAAGCTTTCGTGACTGCAGGGATTCATCTTAAATAATTCTCACGACGTTTCGGCCACAACGCAAGCAGCCGTTCTCAGGTGAAGAACAGGTGTGTCGGAAAGACAGCGTCTGAATGACAGACCTGTTCTTCACCTGAGGACGGCTGCTTGCATTGTGGCCGAAACGTCGTGAGAATTATTTTATTATGTTTTATTTTTATTATTTTATTATTTCCATTCTACGTGACTTTACCGAAAGAACCAAGAAGAGGTACCAATGGTGTGAAGACAGTTCCTTATAGAAATCCATCTTCACGCTCACAGCCCTCGCATCAGGTGGGGGCAATGAACCAAATGTTTCCCCTCCTCTAAATACAGGAAGAGCACCCAGTTCTAGGACGTGCTCCGTGGAGTTTGTGTGTGCCCACCCCAGTGCTTTTTAAGGGATTACATCTTGAATCATTGCCTCACTTGATGCAGCTAATCCGGCTGTGACGGTCCCACCTGATGACGGAGACTTGTGTTGCCTCCGAAACGTCGTGATTTTTGTTTTATTTTATTTATTTTTATTAATTTTGATGTTTTACCTACGTGACTTTACCGAAAAAACCTAAGAATATGAATATCTGCACCGGAGGCTGGACCTCCGCTCGGTTGACTCGGCCTTAAACGAGTATCTGACGCGGTGTGTAAACATCAGCATTGGCAGACAAACGCGGCTGCGCATGTTGCTGGCCATACCACCCCCTCTCGTGTGCTGCGCTGGCCTTCATAGGCGCTCGCTTACAGCACTTTTCACAACAGCTTGGGAACGATATAGGTTTTGTGTTCACGGAAGTAATATATTATTGTGTAGTTCAGTGCGAGGTCACATAAAGATGTTTTTTTATGAACTAATTCATCTAAAGCAAGGAGCTTGGGAGAAATATTGTTGTTATTGGCCAACGCTCATGTTGAAATTGTGAAGTGATTTCAAAGCTGTGACAGAGATGTATGGATTTTTCCTGTTTATATATAATCATTGATGGGTAATTATAATATTATTGTATTGAGGTACAAATCTACATGTATAAATACAGTACTGAATTATACCGGTGTGTACATATATAAGCATACTGGATAAGTGCACACACCCATGAAGTTAGGTGTAAATTGTGTTTATGAATAATAATTGGTTCTTTACCCTTCTATCTGGCAACAAAACTGACACCTTTTTGCCAGATAGAAGGGTAAATAACCAATTATCATATTTTTACTGGCAAATTGAGGTTCCCAAAGCTTCAGCCTTTAAACTGAGTTACTGACGATGATTATTCTCTATTTATGACCAGATAGGAGAAGCCAACGGGTATTAAGTTGCCCAACATTAAGCAGAGGCTGTTAACTGAATTGTCACAAAAAAGACAAATAATAGATGCATGTGACTATTTATAGAATGCTAATGTTTCTCCATTATTCAGAGCAAAATAACACAAATAATTCAGGTTTCAATGATATTTTTTGTTGAATTGTGGTGAAGCGAATGCTGCTAAAAGTACAAATAAAATTTTCAATCAAATTAAATGTATTCCATATTGGCTTTCAGAAGAAATGAAAAATAATTTGTGTAACCCATATGATTCATTGAGCTATGAATTCAAATACCAACACTGCATTCTGATCAAGCGGTAAGGCAAGAAACCCTAATTAATAATGATGAAAAAGTGTCAGCTCTACTTTGAATCGTTTCAAGCACTGCCGTGTCTGGATTTTTCTACGTCCAACCCCCTTGCACTCGCGCAAAGGAAAATTTGACAAGAACATCTGGGAAAGGAAACGGGCAGTCAGCGGCCAGGGCCTGGGAAACTGAAAATGTTATTGCAGCACAGCTGGCCTTCCTGCCCTCAGAGCTCGGAACATTGGACACCGACTCGTGCAGGCAGATAGCATGCAGTGTGTTTCGCTTGGAAGTCTGAAACCCATCCAGGCCAGGAAATCCCTGGACAAAGTGACCCCGTACCCGACCTTAATCCTAAGCACTCCACCCTACCTGGACCAAGACACGCAGTGCATGAAGATACACTGACACATTATGAACACAAAGACAAACAAATCTCCACTATAACCATTTCAGACTGTTTGGATAAGTGCTGGAAGCAAGCACCTATTATGAAGGCTGGAATGGCCCATGAGGGGTTGGTGTGGTCAATGCCAGGCTTGACCACCTTTGTCTCCCCAGTATTGATATTTACACATTGCACCAGGTCGTCATTTATAGCTGAGTCGACATAGGGGAAAATCCAAGACGTCTCAGATAATCGCCACTGATGTTAGCCGTTGCCAGGAATTTAAATTGCAAAGCTAGATTCGTAGCACCGTGTGCTAACCACCCTGTCACCGTTCCCCACATGGCCACATGGCCACATGCCCACACACTCTATACAGTACATATTACTCTGTATAATCAGATTAAGAATCCTAGATCAATGCAGCAAATAGGAAACACATAACACACAAAGTCTCATGGCAACGTGGGTATAGTGTATCTACCCAATATTGAAATTGTCCTACCAAGATCCCAAATCATAATGAAGATGTTCAAAACGTAAACATTCCCATCTGATGGACCATGTTTATACATACACATTGTACTGCACTAATATGCGTTATTTACTTGGTAACTGTTGCAGCCATCAAAGCCACGATATGCAGAGGAATGTGTGTGCCTTTTTTGTCACAAGCTCATTTTCTCATGACCTGTGCTCAACTCTGGCTGCATTCCCCCAATATTTTTAATGGGCGCATGTTGGAAAGACAAACATTTGCATTCCTTAAAGTAAAAAACCAACCAGGCACAGTGATGGTCTTTAACCATCTGTTGAGTCTGAACAGAACACAAGTTGAGATAAAAAATTCACAAGCAAAGCAAAAACGCACACGGGTATATCAGTGGAGATAGAACAAGGCATGCAAATGGTAAAATTCAGTCGAGACACACAGGTGTGAGAAGTTTAATCACAAATACGTGCATTAGGTTTTTGGTTAAGCAATAAAGAATCCGTGTAACATTTTTTTATTTGTGTGCATAGCTAATGAAATGAATAGTAAAACAATTTCTTCAAGTTTTTTTTTATTTGTACTGTATAGTCAAATTATTTTTTTGTATTTATTCATGCTCGTATGTTTCTGTTCACGTGCATTTGTAAACAGAGTATATGTAAACATACTCTTTGGTTCTTTCGGTAAAGTCACGTAGGTATAAAATAAAATAAATCACGACGTTTCAGGTGCAACACAAGCATCCATCATCAGGTGGGAAAACATAGTCTGCTGCCGAGGCAGACTGTTTTGAATAGTTTGAAATGGGTAAAAAGTATATATTTTGTCCCTTGCTTGTAAAAGTCCCAAAAGAAATTCCCCCCATTTGTGATTTCATAGCAAGAGGATAAGGTTTATGTAGAGCTCCTGCATTAACTTGCTGACACCACTGCTGGCTGAAGGGCCCAGCCGGATGACTTGTAAGTGGCTGGAGTACTACACCACACGTGATCTGCCAATCGACTAAGGTGAACCCATTCGTACAGCTGGGCCGACCGAGGCGGGAAGGGGTAGATGGGGGAGATTTCATCAATTTGACCAAACGTTCAACTGCTGCACCAGGACATTGAACCTGGCGACCTCTGTATTGCAAGCTCAGTGTACTGCTAACCATGACAACTGTAGTATCACGAACGAAATGTATTGCACTGAAATTAAAACTTGCTGAAATACTCCACATATTCTTAGATAACGATTAATGCACCAGTTTAGATCGAACTGCCGATGTATGCATTGCAAGTCGAGCCATTACAACATGACAGCATT